ACAATATTAGGGAAAAATGTAAATGTGTTTCGTGTTATAACCGTTCCAAAAAAAGATTCCTCAAGCTAAAGTGATGTTTACGTTAATGCAACTACGCATGCTCACGAAGAAGAGGTGACGCTGGAAATTTAAAATTTTAAATTTGCTGCCTTCAGTATGTTTATGAACAGGAGAAATCCACTGAAAATATTATAAGCTCCTCCAATATCCTAATTATTTCATATTCAACGTTAAACTAAAAGATCGTAAAATATTTTAAGATATAAGAGTTAACGCTTTCTGACAAACTCAAGGTATCAAAATATATTGTCCTACCTACCAATTCTACCAAAACTATAATTGAAAATAATATACTTAAGCTTCACCTAAAACTGTGTTAAAACTACTTCTAAAACAATGAGCCTTAATTATTACATGTTTTCTTTTTTCTACCTAGATGAGGGAAACCTCAACAGAAAACCTACGTTCTCGAGATCTTTTTTCCAACATCCTATCGCATCATCATTGTAGAAAAATCACGTGGTAGAGATAAACACTTAGTTGTGGAGCAAGCTAAGTGAACAATAGTCCAACCTTTAGAAAGAGAGCTATTTATGTTGCCATTGGAGAGCATCTCATTGTGCTAAAAGTGGGATAGTCCATTGCTTGGGCTGTGATTGGCTTTTGGTACCTGAGTGGAGGTATTTCTATATAAATACCAGCTTGATTTATCTGTTAGTTTGCAGGGTTTGTATTAAGTTACAACCTGCTTTATTTTTTTGTCTGCCAGCTGGACGCTAGCTGGGACCTTTACACCGGTAAGTGCTGTTTATTATTGTTATTCTACATCTCCTTTCCCCCATCGCGTGTGGGTAGTGGCCTTTTTATTTCGATAAATGAGTTCCTTTAAACCTGGCTGGTTGTGCGGAAGTTTCTCTGGACAATGCCCGAGGGTTTTTTGTCCGTGTTATTGTAGAAAATTCAGCAAAGTTCGACGTTATTCCAGCGTCGAATGTTTTAAAAACTGGTGTAATTTTGAATCCAGGTAAGGCATTCTAAACATTGGAACTGGAATTGTAGGTGTATTTTAATTTCCTGAGGAATCGGCGATTTCAAAGGTAATTCTACCTGATCCATCAACTCTGATTACGGTATTGGTGGTTGGGGAGGGTTTCAATGACCTGACCTGTTGTGTCCCATCGGCGGGTTGTTGGTCGTTGTAGTGCCACTATTTGTCCTTTTTGAAGGGTGTTTAAAAGTGTGCTGTTCTGTTGTATCACTGTATGAGACGAGCGTTCCTTAAATTTAAGACTTATCTCGCGATTTTGGGCTGCGGTTATCCAATTCGCATGTGGCTTATAAGAGTGTGGGGTGGGATGGTATATAGTCACGTAGTCGGCGGTGGAAGAAAAGTTGAGCAAGGATTAGCCCAATGTTTTGAATGGGCGTATTCCTGTTTTGGAGGATGGCTTGCTGCAATGTTATTGTCCAACGATCCTTGGGCTCCTGTGTTGCCATTTACGATTCTCTTTGCCGTTTTCACAGCAAGCTCACAATCATCATCTTCATCATTCTACAATCATCATCTTCATCCTTCGACCTCCCTACGGAACTCCATTGACAATCCTTTTTCATACTGTTCGATCCTGCATTGCTGTTCCTAAATCCGCAATGCCCAACCCTTAGTCCCGAGCTATGGTGGCTGGGAAAGACAATTTTCGTGAGAAGACACCTCCAGAAGTTTTTGGGAGTAAGAATGAGACGATTTCCCTGGCCGGCAATCTGTAATCATTTTGTTTGAGCTTAAGGGAGATTGATCTCAGTTCTCCGTAAATTTTCTTAAGCATTCTATCTCTTGGGCTACGGAAGGTAAAACTGTAGTTTGAATGGTGGAGTTGTTGTCCATTTTAAAGCATCTTTAATACTGGTCTCTTATTTCTCTTGTCCTTTTCCTGATGTTGGGGATGGGACTGTATAAATTCCTCCTAAATCTCCATTCCCAAGGTCAAACAATTGATTAGGACAGTATAGTCGGGTACACCCGGGTTTTGGAAATTTTCACATCCTGTTTCTCTTGGTAGTCATTGTGGTATTACACATGAAATGTTCTGCTTAAACATCAAATGTCTTGTTCAAAATTGACCAACACTGTAACTTTTATCGCAAACGCTCAGTGAATTTTCCTTTGATTGTAATCATACCGATTGATAATAGTGATATTAAATGAAAATAGTTGCCCTGTTATATTGTAGGATAACTACATTGTATATTGTATACTATATATCGTACACGTATAATGACAAACGTAATAGATTTGACTTTTATTTCATCGAATTTTTTTTCTGTTTTCTTAAGATATTGTTACACTTAACTCTTTTTTATCTATTTATTCCTCAAAATCTATGTTTAAAAAAACAGCGCCTGCCGTAGTTACTTAAGACATACACCTGCCGACATTTTCTCATAATCAGTTCGTTTTTTGTGGTCTCTGACTAAGATTAAAACCTAAGATTAATGACGGAGATTGTTAGCTTTTTTCTAGTAGTACTAACAATCGATGTCCAAACGCAGCTAAAAGCCATTTTCCTAGATTTTAGAGTGTCTTCATATCGAAGATTAACGCTAGACAAGCTATTTCAAGCCCACTACATCACAGGTTTACCTTGGGCTGCACAAATTTAAATTTGTATGACTGAGAGTGCTCAATATATTCATGTGCTGATTGCTTTCTAAACTTATGTCATCTGAGATCTGAGCTTTTTGTAGAGAAAATACAAATACAAATGTAGTATTATGCCAGATTAGGCTTTGAATTTCTCCCAGTCGTCGAATGGAGAGTCACGTAACCTCACACCTCTATCCAGTTTTGAAAACGTGTTGAATAATCTATAATGTACGCGGTTATATAGGGTGCGATGGGAAATTTGTTGCCATTTTTTTATTCTTAATTTCGCGCAGGCGCATTGTTTGTTTTTGCTTTTGTCGACTGCACAGTTTAGTAGGGTCAGTTGGGCACCGTCTGTGAGAAAAATAGCAGCATGATGCAATTCACTCGGCCAAACATTTGTATATGGCATGATCCTCTGCTGGGCATTCGCGCTGGAAGCACCAATACGAACATTGGGTGTCAATCTGAGAACAGATAGGATTTGAAAAGAGTTGATTGAGTCTAATGGTGATTACGAAGGTACGGCAGCTCGGAAAACTCACGCTGATCGTTCTGATACTAAAAGGACTACCGAATTTGTTGCTGAGGGCCTCAAACTCAACGCGGGGGCCTACATCAAGTGCCTTGAGGAGGTACTGCTACCCAATACGAACATTGGGTGTCAATCTGAGAACAGATAGGATTTGGAAAGAGTTGGTTGAGTCTAATGGTGATTACGAAGGTACGGCCGCTCGAAAAACTTACGCTGATCGTTCTGATACTAAGAGAACTCCTAAATTTGTTGCTGAGGGCCTGAAACTCAACGCGATGGCCTACATCAAGTGCCTTTCAAGGTAAGACGATAAACTACATCCGCATCCTGGGTATGATGATAAACTACATCCGCGTCCTGGGTAAGACGATAAACTGCACCCGCGTCCTGGGTATGATGATAAACAACATTCGCGTCCTGGGTAAGACGTTAAATTACATCCGACAGCAAGGCCTCTACTCAGGAGATTTTATTAGAAGCGTTGAACCACCACTTAATTGCTATTGTTCCCAGATCCACCCTGACCCGAAGTGGTAGCACATGTTAGGGTCCCAGCTATGGGTAAATAGTTAACCTCCAAGCTGAGGTCAAAATACAATGAAAGTGTAAGAATATATTTTAATACCAGCAATACATTTTTGTAAAAAAAAAATATTACCAGTAATGAATTTTTGAAGGAAAATATTATCAAAATCAATACATTTAAAAAAAAAAATATTACCAGCAATAAAAATCTTGTCGGCATTAAATAACCCATACAGGTTGATATGCCGTAAAACAAAACAAAACAAACTTATTTTATAAATTTACACGCAGAAAAATCAAAAACACATTACTTTGAATAAAAACTTGAAGAAATCAGTAGAAAAATCATGAAAACAAAATTTGACTCTCTCTAGTTTTGAATAATGTGGTGGGACTAATTTTGCGGTTTAGATGATAAAGTGCTAATATTAGATTGGCTGAAAGGAATAAATTTCTTTAGTCATCTACTGTCTTTCTGATTCCTCTGCTTTTATTGTCCTTTATAACCTTTTTTATTCTTTCACAGTGGATTTATTACCTTGCTTGATGTGAAATGATAAAAAAAAATACATCCCAATATAAACATTACCATCCTCGCGATATGGTAACACATTGTTCATGAATGAAAACAAAGACGTCTATAATTGTTTGAGAGAAAAAAAAACTGTATCTATATATTTACAGAACATGAATAATAGAATAAGAAAAGTGTTTGTTGAAGTAGCGAAACAAACAAATTATCAGATATGAAAAAAAAAAGAGAAGTGAATTAAGGTCTTACTTGGAGAACTGAGGTGGTTGGCATTGAATCAGGAATTTAGCTTTGGCTATAAAAACGGCGAGATTTCGCGTGTTGGCCTTTTGATGAATTTGTCTCAACTGGATAAAGAACTGTTTTCGCGTCTCTAGCTAGAGTCTCTCGTGATGCATTTCTTACCCTTTCAGTTGAGTCCTCCCAACTATGATTTGTAACGCTATATATATATATATATATATATATATATATATATATATATATATATTATGAAATGGACAAAGTCCGACAATTATTTTAAGACATTCAGGTCGGTAAATGTTATTAATACTATTTATTATAAACAGACCATTTACTTAAATATTTGTATCTATAAAAAGAACGTATAAACATAAAATGTCTTTATATATATATATATATATATATATATATATATATATATATATATATATATATATATTAATAAAATATACTTAAAAATGAATTTTCTGTTGTCTTTATTAACACTTGTGAAGCGATTTGTAAACCTAATTTCAAAAGACACTGGTGGCTTGTTGCAGAAAAACATTGAAATGAACAAGGAATGAAGGATAGATAGATAGATAACTCATGTCGTGAGTGTAGAATGTTTTAATCATTTAACCCCAAGCAAGGCAATAAAGCCACTAAGACGCAGGTGGTTACTTGGTGCGAGAAAATATGAGAAAAAAACTACTATTAAGGAAAGAGAACAATAAAACAAGAATTAAGAAGACAGACGATAATGATTGGAATTTCATTTTCATTTTTGAAGATCAGACTTGACTGGGAAGTAAGAAGTGGGAAGAAAATCCCACAAGCGAGAAGTGTGAGAGAAGAAACTGTTAGCATAGAACTTATGGTTGCATCTAGCCATTTCAAAAGCCGCTAATCTTGTTCTACACTTAAATTCAGAAAGTCTAAGTGCCATAGAGGAATGTTCATCAGAACAATTACCATGAATTTCTTTATAGAAAAGGTAGAGGGAAGCTACCTGACGAAAACTACAAGAAGCTGAGTCGAAATGAAGCAATTCAAGTTTTGCGTAACAAACATCAACCAATGTATAATGAGATGAAGTAATTTTTAAAGAATTGATTTGTATTTATAATCCCATATTATTTCTCATGATTTTAAACATTTTATTTTAATGGAAACACGTGTGTGAGTAGACGTCCTGTTTTATTTTGTGAATTATATATGAATTAAAAGTGATAGCTTTGTTTTCATTTTCTCTAAAACTTCGCCGTTCCTCACATGTTCAGCCAATGGTATTCTCAGCATCCTTCTGTAGAAGCAAATTTATGTTGCTTCGAGTTTCTTCTTCATCTGTGATAAGATTGTCCAATATAGCAATATACAGGTGGACCGATATTGCGTAACAGTTCAGTACTCTTTTCTTTGTTTCTAACGACATTTTTCTGTTTCTTAATATTTTACTTAGCTTTTGAAAGGCATATTTCGCTATTCCAATATTCCGTAGGATATCCGTGCCGCATTTTCCGTCTACTGTTAAAATAATTTCCAGATATTTAAATGTTTGTACTTGCTTGATTTTGGCGTCCCTAATTTGTAATTTTTATGCTGGGCTGTTCCATTTTGCTGACAACCATACATTCTGTCTTTCTACAATTGATGCTTATGTGTTCTTTCTTCTTACTTTCCTCCACTGCCCTGTGTAGAAGTTCTTGTAGTTTCCTTTTAGTGTCTGCTATCAACAATATGTCATTTGCATATATAATGTTTTCATGTTCTCTAAAACTTCGCATCATCGGGATATGGTAACACATTGTTCATGGATGAAAACAAGGACATCTATAAAATTGGCCTGCGATGTTTTCAAGGTCGAATATATAATAACTGTCTATATTTCTGAGATGAGGTATCATTTACACTATTTACATTATTCGGACTATTGTCGTCATCTTTGTTGCCATATTTATTAGTTATCAGTTATCTCCTGCTTAATTTCATCTCCAAGTTCTCCACAGCCTTAACCAGGTATTGAACTCACACTCTTTAGGTCCTGTCAAGGCGGTGGAGAACTTGGAGACGGAATTAAGCAGGAGATAACTGATAACTGACAGCCATTAGACATGGCACGTGGAACTAGAACAGTCTACTCCAGTGAACGAAATAAAGGGTTCAGTTCGATATTCCGACGACCTGAAGAAGGCCGAAACGTTGTAATAAATATGGCGATAAAGATGAGGATTTTAAGGCAGTTTTTACGCTGAATCGAAAAATCATACTCAATTGACTGCTAATAATAAATCCTAGTAAATCTTCTAATTCTCTTTGGAATCTTTCACTGTAAAGAGGGAATAAGTTCTGAAATTCTGCAAAATTTGGAAGGACCATTAAGGAAAATAATTACAGTACCAGTAGTCACTGGAGCACTTGGGTATTGTACAAAAACATGGAAAAATGTTAAGGTTTTGAACGTGATTTGGAACAACGAGGATATTTCAGAAAGTATTGGAGATATATTGTCAGTAAAAAATTAAAAAATATCGTACCTGGGAATATTTTGTTTTTGTTTGATTTTTTTCGCGGTATATCAACATCTCCATGGGTTATTTAATGCCAAATCTACATATTTAGAACACAGCTTTATGGCTTCAACTACTGATAAAATGTATTGCTGGTCATTTTACTATAAAAATGTATTTTTACACTTTTATAATGTTTTGTTTTAGAGTTAATAATTTATCCATAGCTGGGGCCCTAACAGGTGCCGCCACCCTGGGTGAGGGTAGACTTGGGAACAACAGCAATCAATAGGTTGTTCCACGTTCTTCAAAACCTCCAATCTCCCGATCAGCATTCACTGGCATATAGAAGGATATATATTACGTTTCCTGTTTCTTAATACTTTGCTTAGCTTCTAGAAAGCGTTTTATGATTTCAGTGTCGCATTTTCCGTCCTCTGTTAAAACGCTTCGCAGATATTTAATTTTTGTACTTGCTTGATTTTTGTTTTTCCTATTTGTAATTTGCAGGTTGAGCTGTACGTTTTGCTAACAACCATATATCCTGTCATTTTACAATTTAAGTTAGTCATTTCTTCTCGCTTTCCTTCCGATCGAAAATTGAGGGTTAATTATAGAACTATATAATATTGTTAGTTATATTTTTAAACGGTATTCTTTATTATTATTGTATCATTAAACCAATTTAAAGGACGTATCTCAAAATCTGATAAAGACAGAAAAATCACTCCATTAGTACAACGGGATACTGTTCCTAAATATAAAACTGCTCGTAGCTCACACAAACCTTATGACTAAAACCAGAAACTCCTTGTCGTTACTAGACGATGGTATTCACAAAGTTACTTAACTAATCACGAAAATTTGATTTGACATTTGTTAAATATTAAAGAAAAAATTGTCGGGTGTCCAAACACAACACACTACCAACAAAGATTTATGTATAGACTAACTAGTGAGGATTAGAAGTGCTCCATACATTCGGCCTTATGCCACATCTAAATTTCGCTTAGTAAATCGGTGTAGATAAGAAAAACAAATACACAGGCGGAACGATATAATCTCCAAGGCTGGACTTTAGATGATAAGCTAGGGTAATGATTTTTCATCCCACTTATCCTTGAAATCCTATGGCATTTTCCTACTACACAGACTTGTCCTTTTTTTCATTTTAAACTGAGGAAGCCAAAGACTGCATACGCTTCTCTGACGAAACGCATCTTCAATAAAATTTTCCACTTTCGGGTAGTATTACACATGCTACAAGCACACAGAATATTCTATATTCAATTCCCTTATCTCTCCAATACTAAATTTGTTATAAATATATATAAGTGATGCATACACTGAGCTATTTAAAGTAGGTAGGGGTTTCTTTATCATTTCACTCCAAGTAAGGCGATAAAGTCCCTAAGACGCACGCAGTTATTGAGAATAAAAGACCATGGATGAGGGAGACTGAAAAAAACATTACTGAATGGTGAAAAGACAATAAAAAGAATACAATTCAAGGAGACAGGTGATGATTGAAGTTTGATTTCAATTTTAGAAGATTGTAAAGAAACTGGGGAAGAGTTCCACAGGAGAGAAGTGCAGGGGAAAAACTATTAGAATAGAACCCACGGTTACATTTAGCAATTTCAGTTGTAAAATGATGAAACCTAACGGCCAATCGAATACCTACCCTAAAATTCATGAAGTTAAGGCACCATCAGAACAATTGGCATAAAAAATATTTGCATAAAAGCAGAGGGAAGCTGCGTACTGGGGGTGGAAGAATGATTGAGACCGAAATGCCAGGTCAAGATTCATAACATTGCAGATTCTTTGCTGGCTATTATCTAGAATTTAAAGTTACATATCAGCAGCACCAGATCAGAAGTAACACACACACACACACACACATATATATATATATATATATATATATATATATATATATATATATATATATATGGAATCTCGCGTTGTTTTCGACGTATGAGGGTCAAGCAACTCAGTTCCTAGGAACCGACAGCCAGACACCGGCACATATGATTTAATTATAATGTTGAAGGCTTTGTGCAGAACCAACCACACTTTTTGAAGGGCCGAAGACAAATACTTGGTGTACTACATACCACAATGTCCTCAAACAACTCAGGTTTTGAATTCAGAGTTGTCCTTCTACTAGACCAGTTGCCATCCAAGGCTATAGAACCCAGTCTGTCCTGCTATTTAGCGATAGTTGGAGGGAGAAGAAGAGGATTCATACCTTTCCCAAAGGTATTAGCACGTAAGTGAATGTAATGGAATCGACTGGAATTTTATATATATATATATATATATATATATATATATATATATATGTGTGTGTGTGTGTGTGTGTTGGTTTGTCTTTAGCAACTAGAAGAATTTAGAAAATGCTATTGTATTCATATTGTCAACTGAAAATTACTCTAGTCCTCCTCCTAGAGCAGTTGCCATCCAAGGCTATAGAATCCAGTCTATCTTGCTATTTATTCATAGCTGGGGGGGGAGGAGAATGAGAGGATCCATACCTTTTCCAAGGATATGAACAGTTGAATGTAATGGATTCGACTGGAATTCGAACTTGGCTCTCCGATTCCTCAATCCGAGCCGCTATCCATTACACCATCGTGCTCTTTATATAGGGGGTATATGTATGTATGTATGTGTGTGTGTGCTTGGTGATCCAAATTCCTCACATATAATTATTGATGTTTTAACCTTGCTTTGTCTGAGTAGCGCACTTGATGTCGGACTTGGACAAGTCACTTGGGAAATTAGTCTAAACTGTCAGACTTTACGGCTCGAATAAACAATATCAGGACTCGTAAAGTGCTGAAAAGCTTTGTATATTCTTTGCGATTACTACAATTGGTCTTCCCCTGTTCGCTACCTCGTATTCGCTAATCGAACGAAATATCTCCTTGGCGAATCAATCATTGAATTTTCTTTTGTGCTGTTAGATTTCGCACACGGAACGAAGAACTTTTCATCGCAGGGGGAATCGATGACTGTTTGCGTTTATCTAAATCTACAGTGTAGCAAAAAATATGGCATACAGCTTCCAACTTACCCTTTCAGTGACATGGAGA